GGGAGGGTTCCTCAACCTACTATTGTTATGATGCACAGAACAGTAAATACATGTCTCAAAGTGTATATGGTAAAAGAATCCACCATCTTCCCCCATGCAAGTGTTTCCAATTAAACATCTTTCCACTTTACTAAAACATTACTTGTTCCCTATTCTGCCTAACATGCTCCTGTACATTAATGGATGGTGAAAAATGTCCTTTACGGAAAAATGCCGTTAAGCTGTAAACAGACGCCTGGACGCTATCGCACCTGGAAGTTTGAGAATGTAAACAGCCATCTATTGGCATTCTAGTAGCAGTAGAGCCACTAATCACTTCCACATGTACAGTACCATGCCACTCCCCACCATGTGTCTTGGGCTCACCTGTCCCTCCTGGGTACCTGGGCTCTCCATGGCAGGTGTCAGCAGGAAGATGAGTGAACACCCATTCGCCAACTGTCCATCTAATGAATGAATCTGAAAGCAACCAGCTCTGATCACTTCCCAGTTCAGTGTTGTCCATTCTCAACCTCCTTGGATAGGTAAAAGCCAACAGAGTATGACCTGTGCTTGATTGGCTACAAACAAAGGTTGCAGAGGTGACATTACAGGTCTAACAGACCTGTACACGTTGGACCAAAACAATTCTAGGGCCATTATTCATAGTTAACTCTACAGTGACAACACGGTAAAGGCTTTGAAAGCACTGGAATCTTTTGCTGTTTCCCAGGTGCAAACAATATTAAACCTTTGTTTGGCATTTACCCAATGCACCTTCATCTTTTATATTTTACAAAAAGACACCACACACACACACACACACACACACACACACACACACACACACACACACACACACACACACACTTTAGAAGAAAAAAAAAAAAAAATAATAATAATAATAATAATAATAATGGGTAATTCATGGTTTATATGCAATAAAAATGTAAATGGTTCTAAAGGTTCAAGGTTTTTTACCTGAATGTATTCTATGCATGAAGGTTGAAAAAAAAAAAAAAAGAAAAAAAAAAAAAAAAAAACCACAAAAAAAAAAACCATACAACCTGTGTGCTGCAGCACCTTCTCCACCCCCCCCTCCCAATCCTTACCGAAGCATCCTCCGATCTAGTGATGCAAGACTGCCTCTGCTGCTGTCTGGGGACTCTTCCTCATCATTGGCTGAGACAACGGGAGCCCTTTGGCTCCTGCTGCTGTCAATCAATCACAGCCAGTGAGGAGAGAGCGGGGGGGGGATGGGGCGATATGCAGCTCTGTATGTCTTATGGACTTTGTGTTTATTATAAAAATTTTGCAAACAGGTACTTTTTCTCCTTCACTGATGTGCATTGATGACGAGGCACTGAAAATCAGTGCAAATCTCGTCACATTTTCCGGTTATCGGCAGTACTTTCCTCACACTGACAGCTTGAGGAAAGTGAAGCCAATAACCGGCAAAAGCATTTGCATTGTGATCTGCTGTGTCATTGGACACAGCTTATCACGTGGTAAAAGACTGCTGTGATTGGCCTTTCACCTTATCACTAACAACACCCAAGGCGTGTTCTGGGAGACGGTCCATGGATGCCCTGCCAGACAACCATGCTGTAGCAGTCTGTCGGCTATAGAACGGTTGGGAAGCAGATAACATATCAGTGTACTTTTTAAGATTTTAATCCTGACGTGCAAAAAAAAAAAATGGAAAGAGTAGCTCTTGCAACAAACTGATTTTTAAACTTTTAAATTTTAGCACCGTCAGCAGCTGATTTAATCACTTACAGAGTATGCAGTTTCTTTAAAGTGTTACAAAACCTACAACAGTAGAATCAGTGTGTATATGCAGTAAAGCATGCTTGTTATACTCACTGTCAACCTAAGGGGTTAATCCTACACATTGCATAAAAAGGCTGTCTGATCCTGACTTCCCTGATCCTCCCCTTTTATTGTCCCCAATACATCTGCTGATGGTACAAAGCCCTAGGAGTCACTCTGCACATGCTCAGTTTGGTGTGAATTTCTAGAGGTTTTTCTCTTTTTTTGTGAGGGTGCATGTGATTAGCAGCACAATCAGCACTGTCCAGACAGAGGGTCAAGGGTTATGCAGCCTCATAACAGTCAGAGTAGAATGGAAACTTCTACTACAAGCTTTAACCAGTGCTCAGCCAAAAACTGATAGATGTCACAAGACTGCTATATACTGCTGATGAGAAAATGTATTTAGTAGTTTATACTTACAAACATAATTGCATTTCCATGTTGTGTGTGCTGTGGGAGACCAGATATAGTGAATGCAGGGTCCGGGGTTTAGTAACACTTTAAGGCTGGTTCACACCACGTCCAGTGACCTGTATTTTTCTGCACTGAATAAATGCAGGTCACAGATGTGATAATAGTTTTCTATGCACCTTGCACTCACTGCAACAAATATTTATGCATATGAATACAAGGCAACGCTATTAAAAATGCATGTAAATGTACATTCCTGTATATGCAATATCGTGTAAAATGACCAGTAATCTTTGCCCAAGTTCTATTTTAGGCTGGTGCTATGACCACTGCCCCAAGTTGCCCATCTTAGGGTGGCTCCTCTTACAGCAACCTATGGAGCCACCTTTGCATGCTGGGACTACATTGGTGTCTCCCCACACTGTGTGCGCATCAATAGCCCTGTAACCTAGGATGGCAAAGCACTTTCTTTGTGCTTTCCTACTTCTTACCCCTCCCTTCTCCAAGCTAGCAAAACTGTCTCAAGGTTGCACTGTCACCTGTTAACCGTTTCTTGTGATGACCGAAGTTCAGAAAAGCAACACTGGGAGAACAGGAACCAGAAGCATTCAAAGCTATGAAATGCAAGTGCTTGGGGGAGAATTTTAACAAATGGCTTACTAGGGAATATTTGTGTTCTGAATGTTAAGCTAAAGCCTGCCAAAGGTTAAAGTGGTTGTAAACGCTCAAGGTTTTTTTTACCTTCATGAATTCTATGCATGAAGAAAAACAAACAAAAAAAAAAACCCCACCTTCTGTGTGCAACATCTCCCCCAGTCCCCTCAATACTTACCCGAGCCCCTTCGAGATCCAGCTTTGTGCTGGACAGCCTCAGCTGTCCCAGGTCTCTGCCACCTCATTAGCTGAGACAGCAAGCTGGAGCCATTGGCTCCAGGTGCTGTCAATCACAGCCAAATGAGGAGGGGGGCGAGGCCAAGCTGCAGGTCCTTGTGTGACTGAACACACAGCAGCAGGTGCCCCCATAGCAAGCCGCTTGCAGTGGGGGCACCCAACAGAAAGGAGGAGCAAGGTGAGCCTGCAGTGAACCCAAGAAAAGCAGGATCCGGGTTACTCTGTGCAAAACCACTACACAGAGGCGTTAAGTATAGGCTGGCGCAATGCGGTGCCCGACCCCTGCTCTTCTCACCAACTCGTGACAAAAGGACCAGCCAATCTCACACCGCGCTGACACTTGCTTAACAATGCCATTATCAGGTGCACCCTACACAAAGATTTTCCAGCTCACTGGACCAGTCTAGGTGCCAGCAGCATGAGAGTGATTGTCACTGGGTTAGGTTAATTATGCAATTAACCCTTCAAACTGCCACCAGATAGCTTTGGGCCTATCAAGCCTTCACAAAGTTAGCAAGAACCAAAATGTGAACAATAAATGTCTGTAATACACACTGTCACCACAGACAAGTATATTCCAAGGATTATTATATACACAGTAGCTTTAGATACAGTTTTAACACTTTTCAAAACTAGGGTTTATTATTAAAGTGGTAACAATGGTGCAATTAAAATATTTACAGAAAAAAAAAAAAGTTACACAGACATCAAGAGAACAATAAAAGCAACAGAGAAATAAAAGAAAAGGAGTTAAGAAGGCAGAATACTTGCAAAGTCCTTAGATTTAGGAATTGTCCAAGCAAAGACGTTGCCTTGGCTCTCAAATCCATTAAGATGTTCCTTGGCTGATGTTAAACGAGAGCTCTCTTATTAGATCCGGTCAGTCTCTTTTCTATGATAGCAAAGTGTCACCTGAGAACAACTGGCCAATCATCCGCTTTAGGGGATGGGTGCTGGGTCACCAAATTTATGACCAAGTCCCATCCTAACTACAGTTTCATATTAATAAAACTTCCAGAATGTGCAGGTGGCATTCTAGCAACTGGCAGATTATTATTCAGAATTATATTTCGAACCCAGGGATACCAAACAGCGTTCCTTTGTCACCCAGGAGGGAAGAGACTGCTTTATCCCCTTTTCTATGTGCTAACAGTCATGTATGACCTTGATTTGTTCAGTAGGATATTCCCTATTCAAATATATACCAAATATTAACGTGCCCTGTTCCTGCTGAATTCTATGACTTGTATGTGGAATTGTTACATGTGGAATAGACGTTTTATGGCACGCTCTGCATTCCTAGAGCTCCAATGGCCTCACAGGTCAGGTGTGAATGCTTGGCTGAGTTATTGTTTTACGATAGGGCAGAGTAAAGTGTTTTCCACGGTTCATGGAAAACAGACATCCTGCCTAGACTAATTAGCGGTTTACAGCCTTGTACCCTGGCATCTATTTGTGTTTTAATTAAGATAAGAGGCTCTTTTGAAGTTACTTAAAATTTACAGCTACAAATTCAATAGCTTGCAATGGGGTAGGAGGGAATAGGAACACTGCTCATGAAACCAAACTGCTGAGACCTTAACAAGTTAGTTATCGTATACAGCTTCCATATCTCTATTGAGCATAATAATTACATAGGCATGTTTGTTATTTTTACAAAAAAAAAGTTTTTAACCTTTTAGTATCCCTTTAATACTTGCCAATAATGAAGAAACCACAATTCCTCCAGAGCTCAACACATGATCTAGTACAGAGATATTGGCCATGTGATATCAGCAGAAAGGAAAGGACAATTCAGCCACAGCTGCTGGTGAACCAGCGCTTTCATGATTATCAGTCCCCTATATCCCTGTGGCTGCAATACTACTACTACCACCACCACTAACAGAGCTTAACCTGCTGACTAGGAGTACGGGGCCTATAGAACTGAGCTACATATAGAAATAGCAGTGAACGTACCAGTTTTCTGGAATTAAGAGGCGTTGACCCAAGACCTGGACTTGAGATGTCATCATAAAGGCTTTTAACTGGAGGAGCACCGCTCTTATCTTTATGAGATGGTACTACAGGCTGAGGAGGGGAGCCACCTAAAAAAGGTAAAAAAAAAAAAAAATTATAATAAAACACATTATAAAGGCTAAAGAGACTTTCCCTGCCTCCTCTCAAAGCTGCTGAAGTATACCGATAGCTTTAAACATTTTTTTTTTTCCCCATTGCTGTCTGCATAAACACATGCGGCAAAAGGGTAGGCTTTATGTAAACCCAACATTTCATATTCCTGATATGTGCCTGCTGTACCATGTACTTGTATGAAAACGTGTCCTGCTCTCTTTGTATTTCTTTCTGTGTGTGAAACCCCTGATGTTCCTATCAGTCCCTCTGCTTTCCTATTAAAAACGACCAACACCAAGCAAGAGAACATAGCATGGTCAGTTCTCTAGCGGTGCTGGGAACTCAGCCCACCTACCTTTCTGCAAAGATCAGACTTGCCCATCCCCCCCCCCCCCCCCCCCCCCCCCCCCCCCCCCCCCCCCCCCCCCCCCCCCCCCCCCCCCCCCCCCCCCCCCCCCCCCCAAGATCGATTTACTGCTGTCTCCCCCCCAGCTCTTTTGCAGCTGAGAACAGAGGGTATGGGATCCCTTAAAAGGGGGGGGGTGAAGTGTGTTTAGGTTTTTTTTTTTTTTAAATACATCTATACACAAATGTTTTGCATTTTAAGCTGAATGGGTTGTTTTACAAGGTGAGGGTTCACATATACTTTATTGCCCACACCCAAAACATATGCATCACTGGGTGACTGATGTTTCTGTGCCAAAAGCACGCAGATAGAGATTTTGGTCCCCACTAACAATCGGTAGCTGGCGGAACCCGCTCATGATCATTTGACAGCCAATCACAGTGGTCACTGATTGAGCTCTTTGAGCACAGACAAATAAAAAAAAAGGGATATCAGGGCTGGCGGGAAGGGGCAAGACAGGTGACAGAAAAGTACGGTGTTGCGCCACAAAACAAAGTACTACACTGATTAACTGCTTCCCGACGGCCCTACAACAGATATACTGCTACAGGGCAGCGCAAAATTATATCTATCTATCTATATATATATATATATATATATATATATATATATATATATATTACACACACACGTGATTTTGCAATTCCGGGTAGAAGGGCGCACGCCCTACCCACGCCGCCGATCACCGAGTCCCAGCCGGGGACTTTTTTTTCTCAAAATTGTTGGTCGATCAAATACCACCGAAAGAAAGCTCAATTCATGGGAAAAAAATAATAATTTGGGTGCAGCGTTGCATGACCGCGCATTTGTCAGTTAAAGTAAAGAAAAAAATAGCCTGGTCAGGAAGGATGGGGGGGGGGGGGGGGTAAATCCTCAGGTGGGCAAGTGGTTATACATTTTACCACAGAGCTAAATTTTTTTCTTCTACATTTTTGCAGTATGTATGCACTAATGCTAAATACATGATCACATGCAACTAGCAATCCAAAGGGAAACAATGAAAAGTGGTTTATAGAAGGAAAAATAGTGCCACCCAAGACAGCCAAGCTAAATAAGCAAACAAGGGCTGCATCATCAGTACAAGTGACCTTTTACAGCAAATGTTTATTTAGGATGCATGGATTACTAAGGCACAAGAATGGTACAAGTGAACAGCTGGAGGATTGGTTGTGTCTGAACCAGCTTAAGCAAACACAGTTCCCAGTATACTTGGGGAAATCTCTCTACAGTAACACAAACTCACCAAGAAGGCAATTCATGGCAAAGCAAAATCTTTAGGAATAAAATTTTGTACATTTTTGATGCAATGTTTTGAAGAGAATTCTACACTATGACGCCACCTCACGACCCAGTCCTCTCCTGGACTTTCCTCCCCGCTGCCCCGGAAGAGGGAGGAAGGACGATTGTCCCCTGTGCTTGGATAGTTCCAATCAACTGGGTCCCCTGGCGTGGACGAATAACCCCGGTTACAGCCTGCCCTCCCCAGCTCAGCTGTTTACCCCCCCAGGGGGAGGGGGTTTGGGGACCTTTCCTCCCCAGGCCTTAGGTCTGCAGAGAAAAAAAAAAAAAAAAAAAAAAAAAAAAAAAAAAAAAAAGGGTCTTCCATGATCGGCAACCCCCCAGCCCCCCTACCCGAGTCCTATCTTGATCCAGCACTGCGCCCAAGAGCAGTAGTGCTGCTCTCCTCCCACAGACCTCAAAACAGAAGCTGGGCCATTGGCTTCTGCCACTCAAATACTATAAAGGAGGGAGCGGAGGGGTGGGTTGAGGGCAGGGCCAAGAAACCACACACTCACACACAGGGCTTCTCAAGTTAATTTTCAGCAATTATAATGAAACTAAAAGAATGATGACCAATGTAAGAGGCAGTGAAAATTGCAGGGTTCCCGAATCTTAACAGTCAGTGGAAAAGTGTTCCCTTACTCTGGTGGTCAGTGGAGTACCCACTTACAGTGGTGGTTAGTGTAGTGCCCTTTTACACTGATGGGATGTGGGGGATGATAAAAAAAACAAAAAAAAAACAAATGAGTTCTCATTACACAAATGATAGACAGGAAGAATGCTCCTTACATTGGTGAATGGTTTCAAAAAGGTTTTTCTTACAGCCAGCTAAAAAATAAATATAACTGATATCAGCGGTCACTTACCTGAAATTCAAAAGTTGCTCATGGAGCCACTAGCAACCACTGAAGGACCACCAGGGTCCCGCTGAATCCTGTTGAGAAAGGACGGTCTAGTGTTTATTAGCAAAACACTCCTTTGCCCCATTTGGTGAAATGACAGAGCAGAGGATGGTGCTTGGCCATAACGAATAACGGCTGCCTCCTAGGTACTTGTGGCTAGATGAAGGTCAGTGGCCACAATGCTCATTCTCTTTGGCCAGACTCTGTCCTCAACTTGACACAAGTAACAACCTGTACCATGAAGAAGCACGAAGCTAGTGAAGACTGTGGCAGCCCAAGTCAAAGAGGCCTTCTTTTGTCAATAGAAGCATGCACCTTTGTCCATTACTGGGGTCAAATAGCAATAGTAATTTTGAAAAGCATTTTCCATTACCTCCAATCATAGGGGAACGTAGCTCCATTACTCCCATGGATGGCCGTGGCTGTGGAGTTACTGGTGTTGGTATATCTCCCATTAGGAAGCCAGGTAAAAACTGGGCACCGGCTCCAGGTTTTGGAGACGTTGGTGATCCTAAAGTCATTGGCTCACCTGCAGAAAAAAAAAAAAAAAAAAAAAATATTACTAGACAACCAGCAATGATTCAAAAATGTATTGTACAGCCAGAGTAAGCCACCTGTCAACGTAAGGTTAGCTCAGATTCTTGTTGAATGGCATCCACACCACAGCTTATATTTACCTTCACTCCCCACTAATTACAGTGAAAACATACTTCTGGGTATGGAATACATACAACTGCTGACCCACGCATTCATGTGGAAGTGCTAATGCTTGGCCACTGAGGTGCCTAACACTACATGGGGTAGGACAGTTTTTTTTTTTTTTTTTTTTTTTTTTTTTTTTAAATGTAAGCCTTTAGTATCACTTTAATGTCTGGTGCTCAGAATTCCATTTTCTCTAAACGCACAGAGCAAATGAGAATTTAAAATAATGACATGTATATGCGTTTAGAAATGTCCTATAAACACATGTAAGTCATTGCCAGTGGGAAGGAGGTCTTAGACCATTTCCACACGGGTGATGCTATTGACCCACAACATGGGTATAGCAAGTGATCAGGAGGCGATATTTTGCCTCCAGCATGCCTGTTTGAAGAAGGATTCACATTGAAATTCCTCTTCATCGCAACCCCACCCTTTAGACACGTTTGCAGTGCATTGCTATGCACTTCAATGTGCATGGGGCAAGTTTAGTAGGTGGCGGCAGCATGATATTCCCGTTGTCGCCACCCCTGGCTCTTTAAAAGATAAGTCACACTAGACACAGTCTCATCATCAAAAATGCATGCACAGTGTTTTCCTTGTATTCCAATGGCTCTAGTTCACATCAATACAGTCAGTTTCTGGTGCAAAACATTCTGCAATTTTTCTACACAGAACTGTACTAGAACATAGCAATTTGCATCAAAACTTAAGAAATTTGTGAGGCTGGAAGGCGAGGTGGAGTTTAGAGTCATGTGACCGCCGTGATTGGTGGTCATGGCGGTCACATGATTGGAAAGCTCCTGACCACATGTAGCAATCTGGACCTTTCTGTGAGGCACCAGTACATGTGCCAGAGTGTGTTCTCGCCACATCTTTTGTTTACTTTAGGTACACAAATATGCGGCCCCTCAGCGCCAAGGCCCAACATTTGTGTAAGCTTGATGCCAAAGAGTTAAAGGATAAGTTTACCTTTGGGAACATGTTCCCAATGTTACAGCTGCTGCTTGATTCCCCCCTCCCGTGAGGGAAGTACAGGGAGAAATTCCCTGTACTAGCCGTCAGTTTTTAAAAACGGCGTGGCCATATAGGGCTCCGCCCACACAGCCATGCCAACCATTCACAGTGTGGTAATTCATTGATTCTTCCTATCAGTATATCTGCTTGCTCATGCATCTTGTACAAACAAGCGGATATACTGACAGGTCTGCAGGACACCTGGATGGCACCAGTGATCTGCTGGTTGATGGTGCAATGCTTTACAGGCTCCTGCAACAAAGAATAAATTAAAATATTTTTAACCTGCAATATTTTTGGCAAAAGGTGAACTTATCTTTTAAAGCTCACCTGTCCAGGGGCCACATATATGCGTACAGCTGGCAGGAGCAGGTTAAGCAGTTGCCGACCGCAGATAGCCAAATGACGGCGGCCGGCCAGTCATATGACATCCTCCCAGAACGCGCTCTCCTGTGTGCCCCTGGCGATCTCCATGATCGTTGTGTCCTAAGGACACAGCTGATCACGTGATGTGGTAAAAGGCCGATCACATCGGCCTTTTACCACGTGATCAGCCGTGTCCAACGACACGCTGATCACAGGGAAATGCAATTGCCGGTTCTCGGCTGCACTTTCCTCACACTGTCAGATCGTGAGAAAAGTACTGCCAAAGAACTGGCAGTTGTCAAAGCAGGGATCGGCACCGATCATCAGGGCACTGATGATCAGCGCCCTGCAGTGCCACCCACCAGTTCCGCCCACCTGTGCCCTGCAGTGCCACCCACCTGTGCACATCATTGCAGCCCAGCAGTGCTGCCAGTCAGTGCCCAGCAATTGCGCCAGTCAGTGCCACCTATCAGTGCTGTCTATCAGTACCCATCATCAGTGCCACCTCATTAGTGCTGCCTATCAGTGCCACCTCATCAACGCACATCAGTAAAGGAGAAAAATTACCTGTTTTCAAAATTTTATAATAGAAAGAAACTTTTTTTTTCCCAAATATTTTGCACTTTTTTTTTGTTATAGCGCAAAAAGTAAAACACCCAGTGAAGAGTAAAATACCACCAAAAGAAAGCTCTATTTGTGAGAAAGAAAAAAATAAAAAGATAAAAATTTCATATGGGTACAATCTTGCATAACCGCACAATTGTCAAAGTGCGACAGTGCTGAAAGCTGAAAATTGGCCTGGTAAAGAAGGGGGTATAAGTGCCCGGTAGGCAAGTGGTTAAAAAAGATCTTCACCTCAGGAACAAAATATAAAAGTCAGTTACAAATACTGTAACTGCTGACTTAATATGTCACTTACCTGTCCCGGATCCAGAGCGGTCCTCACCTGGGTTGGCTCTTTGCTGGTCTTCAGATCCCGAGTGTGTGAAGTTGGCTGTGACTCCTTGCAGCTTCACATTCATGATCTGAGCTTTGTGAACAGTCCTGCAGCCTTCTGGGACCTGTGATGTGTCCCAGAAGACTGGGAGTGAAGGGAGGGAACCTCAGTCTAGGCAATCTGGGTGGGTACCTGTCAAAACCAAAGTACCTGACCTCCTCCCCCCCAAGAACTTTCCCTTTAAAAAGCACTCAGCCACTTAGTTTTACCACCTGGACAAAACACTTATGTAAACAGGGATACAGCATTCCTTAGCACAGCCCTCTTGCACATTATAGCCCTCTCAATTATGCAGACCATAGACGGTTCGTTTATTGACCAAATTTTCAGCCAAAAAACAAATCGGTCGTTCTGTTGCCACCAATGCTTATGAAAATCGGCCATTTTTCATAACTTTTCCAGCATGACCAACAAAAGAAACGAGGAGGAACCACAAAAATCAGCTGACATTGCCCCACTAACAGTGCGAATATCGGCCTTTTATTCTTTCGGACCAAAATCTGGCCGAAAACCAACCGTCTATGGCCTACATTACTGTGTGCTGGCCCGGCTCCTCCACCCCTCTCTTTATACATCTGCTGGGGGAGGGGTGAAGAATGGGAGTGGATGTCAGTTGAGTGACAGCTGAGTCCTCTGCCATCATCACCTCCAGGCCGGGCTCCCAGCAGTGTCGGGTTCTTCAGCTGTGTACAGAGGAGGGGATAGAGCCGTGCAGGAGTGAATGGTGACAGGGTCTCTTCAATGACCACGAACTAGAACTAGCCGCAGTGTGATCCTGCTCTGTGATTGGCGGAGTCCTGCACTCTCCCGCTCCTCGGGCCGGCCTGTGTCCTCTATCCTCGGAGCAGCACGTGTCAGTGACAGGGGAGGGCCAGCACGAGGCGCTCTCTTGTACTCCGCCATGCCGGCTCTGCCTGCCCGCCATACAGCGGCGCTACTCACCCTGCGGCTCCAGCAAGAACGCCGCCATGCCTCTGTGTGTTGGGAGGACCGGCTCACCCCACCGCATTCAAACCCAGCGACTCGGAGGGAGAAATCAGCTGAGCGCCGGGAAGTCCCGGAGTGTCGTCACTTCCGAGCACAGGCGGAGGTTTAAATGATGCCGATCAGCGCCAGCTAGCGGCCGTAATGAGACGCGCACCGTGTGCTGGGGGTCATTGTACACATGATGGACTTCTGCAGTGACATGTCTGTGGATTAGATCGGTGATCACCAACCTTTGTGACACCAAGGGGGGGGGGGGAGGAGATTTACTAAAACTGGAGAGTGCAAAATGTGGTGCATCTGGGCATGGTAGCCAATCAGATTCTAACTTCATCTTGTTCAATTAAGCTGTGACATTAAAACCTGGAATCTGGTTTCTCTGCAGAGCTGCTCCAGATTTTACACTCTCCCGTTTTAGTAAATAAGCCCCAGAATTCTGTAAATGATTACACAGAGCGCTGTGAGGGCTGATTAGAGCACATATCAGTGGATCTCTGCGTTGTGTACAGCCTAGGGTCACGTATGTTCACAGGAACACGTGTACAATTACACATTGTGCTGCATGGTTTTAGAAAAGGTTCCAGAACTTCTTTTTCCTCCGCAGTTCACTCCCTTAGGAGCTGCTCTGTTAATCATTTTTCTGAACTAAAATGTTTAAAAAGTGGGGTGTCTCAACCACTTATGCCACTTGTCATGCGATTTTGGACACATAAAGTTGCATGACAAGTCGCAGGCCATGTATTTCACTGGAAGCAATTCTAATCTATGCAGCTTAAAGTTCTACTAAAGGCTTAATGTTTTTTTTTGTTAAACAAACATGTCTATACTTACCTGCTGTGTGCAGTGGTTTTGCACAGAGCAGCCCAGATCCTCCTCTTCTTGGCTCCTCTGCCAGCATTCCTGGACCCTCCCTCCTGTTGGGTGCCCCCACAGCAAGAGGCTTGCTATGGAAGCATTCCAAGCTGCCGCTCCTTGTGTCCATTTACACACACACACAGAGCTGTGGCTTGGTCCCGCCCATTCTCTTTATTGGCTCACTACTTGTGATTGATAGCAAAGGGTGCCAATGGCTCCCACTGCTGTCTCAGCCAATGAGGAGAGGGAGTCTCGGGATAGCTAAGACTCCAGTGCACAGTACTGCATCGAGAGGGGGCATAGGTGATGTGACGATCATGGCGTCAGACCCTAGCCCTTCTCACCAACTCGTGACCGAAGGGCTAGCCAATCTAAAACCGCGCTGTCACGTGCAGAACAATGCCACGCTCAGCTACACCCTGCACAATGATTTTCCAGCTAATGGACCATAATGTATGTGCCAGGAGCCTGAGAGCGATTGTTACTGGGTCAGGTTAATTACGCAGTTAACCCTTCACACTGCCACCACTGCCTTTTTTTAGAGAAAAGGAGGAAACTTGCCAATATTAGCAATAACACTATGATGTTTGAATAATCATCTGTATACCACTGTCACCGCAGGCCGAGATATATAGAGGTTTAAAACACACAGTAGCGCTCTTCAGAGACAGGGATTCTTAGTTTGCCTTAAAGAGCTTTAGAAACAGTTCAACACTTTTCAGATAATAGGATTTATTACTAAAAAGGTCAAAAGGGTGCAATAAAAAAAAACTGACAGAAAAAGATGTAGCCTATATATATATATATATAAATACAGAGAGCAATAACACAGCAAAGAGATAACAGAAAGAAGTTTAGAGAGGTAGAGTACTTGCCAAAAGTCCTGGGTTAAGCAGATCAGGTTTCAGGGCAAAAGGGTACCGTCTCCTAAGTTGGTTCCGATGTTAAAAGGGAGAATTCTTCAACTTTTTTCCTCAGGCCTGACAACCTATTTGGTAGGCCTCCAGCAGGGGGTGTCTCTGAAGCCAAGGGCCAATCACCTTATTTGGGGAGGGGGTGTCTAGGCGGAGACCCAAGCTAGAACCAAAATCCCTCAGAAGTTATACCAGGGTCAATAACCTTCCCTAGGTACATGTAACATTCTATCCACGGGTAGATTAATATGCAGAATCATCTGCTGAACGTCTAGATATCAAACATGCCATATTTTACTATTCCAGCTAGAACTATATGGCTTTATGCTCTCCTGTAGACTTCAACTAGGGGTGTAAGATATCAGACGACTCGCATTAAACTGAGCTATCCGAATATATGCTTGGTTTTTTTGTAATTATTTCCCATCTCCAGATATAAAATTATATGCAAAAGTGGGTTTTAAATGTGTTGTCTGTTTTACGGCTAGCTGGAAATCCTTTGAAGTCCCGTGAAGGACTGGTTTATGGGTTTACGATTATCTCAGATTGAGATGCTAACAGACACCCGGGCACCAGCTAATTTGGGATTTATAACCATGAATCTGGCCCGCTGTGCCTGATAGCCTGTGCACTTCTGAACCCAGCACACATGGACCATGTGTCACTCAACAGAGAGGGAGGGGGGGATTGGAGGAAGAGAGATACAAGATGGAGGATCCTTAGCAAGATGAATGACCGCATCCATCTATGTGTGCACAATTGCTACAGGTGAGTAGGGGAGGATGCTGCACTGAAAAGGTTTTTTACCTTCATGCAAAGAATGCATGAAGTTAAAAAACCTTGAGCCTTTACAACCAATTTAAAGTCACATTGACTTTAAAAAGGTTCCTGCACTACGTTGATGAGACGTTCATGCAACTTGAGAGCCATAGACTGCAATGTAAACTCGTGAAAGTCGCATCTTAATATCATCAATGCAACAGTTGTGCAACAGTCAACGCCAAAGTCAATAGCCATAGTCACATCTGAGCTGCACCAATTCAAAAAGTCGCAAAGTGTGAATGGAGCCTTAGATAAATAAATCACAGAAATTTAAATGTAAATTGTCATTAAATATATTAATATTTTGAAAAGTATACAATGTTTATATTTCTTAACCCACAATACACTAAAGGCTGGTTCACACTATAGAAATGCAGTCCGAATGCGTTTCTGCATGCACATTTTTGACACATTCTGGTGTGTTTTTGATGCTTTTTTGATGCATTCTGGTGCGTTTTTTTTTTTATGTATTATGTTAATTTTTCCCCCTCTCTTTTTCTTCAATGTAAATAGGGACATGTGCGTTCCAGTGCGTTTTTGATGTGTTTTGGTGTGTCATTTATTCAGTGTTGTCACATGAAAATATATTTTATATATATATATATATATATATATCTCTATATAGATAGATATAGATATATATATCTATATGTACACAGTGCCTTAAAAAAGTATTCATACCCCTTGAAATTTTCCAAATTTTGTCACGTTACAAACAAAAATGTAAAAGTATTTTATTGGGATTTTATGTGATAGACTAACACAAAGTGGCAAATAATTGTGAACTGGAAGGAAAATAATGGTTTTCCAATTTTTTTACAAATAAATTTCTGAAAAGTGTAGCATGCATTTTTTATTCAGCCCCCGAGTCTATACTTTGTAGAACCACCTTTTGCTGCAATTACAGCTGCAAGTCTTTTTGGGGATGTCTCTACCAGCTTTGCACATCTAGAGTGTGACATTTTTGCCAATTCTTCTTTGCAAAATAGCTCAAGCTCTGTCAGATTGGACGGAGAGCGTCTGTGAACAGCAATTTTCAAGTCTTGCCACAGATTTGCAATTGGATTTAGGTCTGAACTTTGACTGGGCCATTCTAACACATGAATATACTTTGATCTAAACCATTCCATTGTAGGTCTGGCTGTATGTTTAGGGTCGTTGTCCTGCTGGAAGGCAAACCAAGAGAAACATTGCCCAAAGAACCCTGTGTTTTCTTGTGTTTTCAAGTTATCCAGAACGAGCTGTTCACTACCATTGTAACATTTGGCTTCCTATGTATAATGTATTCCTATGTATTTTGTGTTCCTATGTGGGCACCGGACTCTCTTGTCCTGTCAATGTGGGCATTGTCTGTGATAATATGATTATCTCTTATCTGGTTGTTTTCTGTATAAATTCAATGTGTTTCTCTAATAAACAAGTTCTTGTTTATTCCAAAAACTGGTGTTGTCTAGTTCGTTGGGGTAGCTACAGCTATAGTCAATTGCCTCATGTTCCAGAGCTAGGGAAGCAGCGTCTTGGTGGCGATACCCAGTCGGGGTGTTTCTCAACTTTTTTTCATTTGAGGCACCCTTTAAAATTATGGACAGCCTCAAGGCACCCTTTAAAATTATCGACAGGCTCGAGCCACCTACAATTAAGGACAATGTCAAGGCTGCCTCTAAAATTATGGACAGTCTCGAGGCACTCTTTAAATTTATAGACTGTCTTGAGATACCTTCTAAAATTATGGACAATGTCAAGGCACTCTCTAAAATTATGGACAGTCTCGAAGCACCCTTTAAAATTATGGACAGTCTCAAGGCACCCCATTCTAAAATGTAAAAAACTATTCTAATAGTTTTATATAACGCAGCAACATCCACAAACGTAAGACACCCAACATTAGAGGTGATTTATTCTTCAAAGCAGACACCTTTGCACACTGGTACTGACTAGTATTCCTGCATTTCTCTTCTCCCTCAGTTTTTCTCCATCAGTCAGCTAATATGGCCCCAGCACTGCTGGAGAGGGGCAGAGGAGAGGTCAAGTAAGGATGCTGTGCACACAACCAACATCCTCCTTATCAACTGATAATGTCATTGGTTGTTAGGATGCTGGAGGCGGTTATAATGGTGCACAATGAAAACCTCTGGCTTTGTGCAACTAATAGGCAGGCTTGTTCTACTCACTGGCTTCTATACACATTTTGGGCATTTTTAGACATTTTGTCATGGAACCCCTTAAGAAACCTCAAGGCACCCCAGGGTACCAGGGTGCCCTGGTTAAAAAGGCTGGTATAGATTATTGAAGAAAAGCTGTCATGTGCATGATGAGATATTAATGTAGTATGTAAAGTAGTGTCAGTCAGTGCAGAAATTATCTTTATTTTTTAAATGCATACCGGTATTGTAATCAGCAGCAGAAATTATTGGTTTTGTGAGTTTCACTTATACAGAAGCCTACATTGAAGCTGCTTGGATTTGGGCCCCTCATCGTTGCAGCACACATAGTAACGTTTTGGTTACAGTACATTGTAGATTCTGAAAGACTATATTTTTTTTTATCAAACCAGTGATTTACTGCTTTTCAATGTGTTTGAGCAGATGTATTCTCTTTGAAGTCATTTGCTCTTCAAATCTTGCTCTTTCTGATGTTTCAATAATACTATATGGTTGTGCTAAAGTGATAAAATATTAAGTTAGGACCAGTTCACACCACATGCAGTCCAGTGTTTTTTATTCTGCTTCAAAAAACGCTTGGAAAATAGGTTATATGGTTTCCAATGGCATAGTTCACACCAATGCGTTCAGTTCCAGAGCATTCCAGTTTCAGAAAAAAAGTAAAACATGCTACATTTTTCCGGCACTGGTTTGCACCGGAACGCGGTAAAAAAGCATCAAAAACGCACTGAACCCTAGTACTATGCACTGAAAAAAAAAACAGGAAAAAAGAAGAAAAAAGGATCTGGAATGCATCTGGAAACACATCAAAAACGCACCAGAATGCATCAAAAACATGCATGCAGCAATGCATCTGGAGTGAATCTAGAGTACATTTTTGCGGTGTGAACTGGCCCATAGGCCCCATTTGGGCTCCATTCAGATATAGGCATTTTGAATCACGGGAGAAATCACCGCAATTTTAAAACGTGCTGTTAAAATGTCAAATCACACATCAGCGTGTTCAGGTGCCATTCATTTCAATGGCACCTAAAAAATGCAGAGCGATTCTGCCACGATTGTCATGCGACAAGTCAGCCGATCATTTGCAGATAATCACTGCTTGAGCAATTACAGTACATGGGAGTGGCCATAGGTAGCTGCAAGAGATGTCAGCCTCCTATAGATTTCAATGGGCCTTCCATCCACAGCTATTCAGTGGAAACCCCAGCTGGATCTCCAGTATGTAGTTGCTAATGTCCCTATTTGCAAATGTGAACGGAACCTTAATCAGTGAAATTAAAGATAACATGGTACTGGCTGTTGCAAGTTCCATAAAGTAGGCTGCATGCCTTATTGGACAATATATGTTCAGACAAATAAAACACTGCATTTCAATTGACACCTTGAACACAACTTTCTATTAAAAAATGCAACCACCGATGACAAGAGACGAAGGAACACTGTTTTGTCAGTCTGTCTTTTCATGTATGTCTGTTTGTCTTCTTATACTGTCTTGATACTTGTGGAGCTGTTCCATGAATCCGGGGTTTGGGCAGGCTGCGGGTCTGGCATTTTTTACAATTGAAAAGGCTCTGGCAAAATTCAGTTTTTCATTATACATCAAATAACCAATAATGATTGCTGGAGCGCGAGACACGCCTGCATTGCAGTGGACAAGCACCACGCCATCCTGCCAAAATAAAAGTATAGAGTTATAGAACAATGCAAGTACAAATGTTTCCTTCATCATACCAAAAACTTCTTAAAGTAAATCTTTAAGGTAATTCTAAACCCTCACATATACCCAGTGAAATGACTGGTCTCAGGTGATGCACAGGGGAAAAAAAAAAAATTCTCCTACACAAGTTGTACCTGTTTTTCTGCAGCCACCTGTCTTGCATATCCATTCAAAGTGCAGACTTAACTCAGAATCACTCAGCTTTGAAAAGCAAGGGGTGGGGAGCTGAATTACACCTTGCAGAGCTCAGTGAGAGCTGATTGGAGGGAAAGGACACACACCCCTTCACACAGGAACAGAGCTGATGCTGACATTCATAGGCTGTGTGCTGGATCTCCCTCCCCTGTCATCTTTTTTTTTCTTGGTGTCAGGAAAAACTTGTTGAAAGTGACTCAAGCAGATAGCGGAGGAACAAATTAGCAGACAGAAATGGCATTTAGTACTCTGTATTGAGATAAGTACATAGTATAGAAGGATATGCTTTGTACATATTTTATTTATGAGGTTTACAACTACTTTAACCACTTGAGCTCCAGAGGATTTACCCCCCTTAATGACCAGGCCTCTTTTTGCTACTCGGCGCTGCACTAATTCAACTGATAATTGTGCGGTCATGCAATGCTGCACCCAAACAAAATTTACGTACTTTTTTTCACATAAATAGGGCTTTCTTTCGGTGTGTATTTGATCATCTGTGCGCTTTTTATTTTTCACGCTATAAACATAAAAAGGCCAAAAATTTTGAAGAAAAACAATATTTTTTACTTTCAGCTATAAAAATTATATAGTAAACTCAAAGTTGGTTATAAATTTAGGCCAAAATGTATTCTGCTACATGTTTTAGGTAAAAAAAATCCCAATGAGTGTATATTGATTGCTTTGTGTGGAAGTTATAGCGTTTACAAACTATGGTATAAATACTGCAACTTACGCCATTTTTCTGCTATACAGCGCTGCGCTAGTTTAACGGACAATTGCGCGGGTCATTCAATACGGTACATAAATGAAATTTACATCCTTTTTTTCCCCACAAATTGAGCTTTCTTTTGGTGGTATTTGATCGCCTGTGCGGTTTTTATTTTTTGCGCTATAAAAAAAAGGCTGACAATTTTGAGGAAAAAAACACAATATTTTGGACATTTTGCTATAAAACATGTCCAGTAAAAAAAAATGCAAAAATCAAATTTAGTCATAAATTTTGCCAAAATGCATTCTGCGACATATCTTTGCTAAAAAAAAAAACCAATACGTGTAAATTAATTGGTTTACGTGAACGTTATAGCGTTTACAAATGGCGGGAAAGATACTGGGATTTTTAGGTTTTTTTCATACTAATAATGGCAGCGATCAGCAAATTATGGCGGCGTTCAGGGACTTATGGCAGCGACCAGCGACTTATGGCGGGACTGCGGTCACTGACAACCCCAAAAACACTAATACAGTGATCAGTGCAAAAAAAAAAAAAAACACTGACACTGTACTAATGGCACTGGGGAGGAAGGGGTCAACTTTATTTTGCAGGGAAGGGTTATAGGAGTGAGGGGAGTGTTTTACTAGGGGGCGGGGGTGTGTGCTGGACAGGACAAGGCTGATCGAGAAAGAGAAACTCTTCTTTCTCGATCAGCTCATCCTCGAGCTGACAGCGAAGTGACAGACAGCACAGCTACTGCAGCTGTGCTGTTTGTCACTGTTTGCCGCCGATCGCCGGGACATAGCCGCTAACGAGCGGCTGTGACCCGGCGACTGACATCTGCAGCGGTGATCTGTGGGACAAATAGGGCGGCGGCGGCGGCGCCTCGCGCGTGCCCCCTATTTGTTTACAAAACACACGTCTTAAAACATGGTTTTGCCTGCGAGTGCCGCCCTGCTGCCGTATATGTACAGTGGCTGGGCGGCATGCGGTTAAGAAAAATCAACATTTGGCAAACAGGCATAATTTTAATGTAGAAGAGACAAACTATGTCTCTCCTGCATTAAAGTTCCATCACCTGCCTGCATGCCCTGTACACTGAGCTGTGCATGCGGAGTTCATTGTAAATTTCCAAATGCCAGGATGAATGAACTCCCACGCATGTGCAGGAGCGACATCATCATGGTCAGGCCAATGGTCGGTGATCGGTACCCAGAAGCCGATCCAGCCAAAGATGACAGCGGACAATCAGGAGCTCCAGCACACTGCAGTGCTAGAGAGTAAGTGAGCATAGTTCCGCTTGAACCCCTTTTTATCAGTAGGAGTGACCCTTTGAGGGGATCTTAATGCCAGGGCATAAGATAAAGATTAAGAGCAATGCAAGCACAGAATATAGATATCAGCAGTATTTATACACTATATTGCCAAAAGTATTGAGACACCCCTCCAAATCATTGGATTTAGGTGTTCTAATCACCTCCATGGCCACAGATGTATAAAATCCAGTACCTAGGCATGCAGACTGCTTCTACAAACATTTGTGAAAGAATGGGTCGCTCTCAGGAGCTCAGTGAATTCAAGCGTTGGACCGTGATAGGTTGCTATCTGCGCAATAAGTCCATCCTTGAAATTTCCTTGCTACTAAATATTCCACGGTCAACTGTTAGTGGTATTACAACAGAGTAGAAGTAACTGGGAACAACAGCAATTCAGCCACGAAGTGGTAGGCCATGTATAATGACAGTGTGGGTCAGCGAATGCTGAAGCGCACAGTGCACAGAAATCGCCAACTGTCTGCAGAGTCAATAGCTAAAGACCTCCAAACTTCGTGTAGCCTTCAGTTTAGCACAACAGTGCATAGAGAGCTTCATGGAATGGGTTTCCATGGCCGAGCAGCTGCATCCAAGCCTTATATCACCAAGTGCAATGCAAAGCGTCGGATGCAGTGGTGTAAAGCACACCGCCACTGGACTCTAGAGCAGTGGGGACATGTTATCTGGAGTGACGAATTATGGTTCTCTGTCTGGCAATCTGATGGACGTGTCTGGGTTTGGCAGTTGCCAGGAGAATGGTACTTGCCTGACTGCATCATACCAAGTGTAAAATTTGGTGGAGGGGGATTATGGTGTGGGGTTGTTTTTCAGGGGTTGGGCTTGGCCCCTTAGTTCCAGTGAAGGGAACTCTTAAGATGTCAACATACAAGACATTTTGGACAATTTCATGCTCTTAACTTTGTGAGAACAGTTCAGGGACGGCCCCTTCCTGTTCCAACATGACTGCACACCAGTGTACAAAGCAAGGTCCATAAAGACATGGATAAGCGAGTTTGGGGTGGAGGAACTTGACTGACCTGCATAGAGTCCTGACCTCAACCCCATAGAATACCTTAGAGATGAATTAGAGCAGAGACTGCGAGCCAGGCTTTCTCATGCGACATCAGTGTCTGACCTCACAAATGCGCTTCTGGAAGAATGGTCAAACATTCCCATAGACACACTCCTAAATCTTGTGGACAGCCTTCCCAGAAGAGTTGAAGCTGTTATAGCTGCAAAGGGTGGGTCAACTCAATATTGAACCCTACGGACTAAGACTGGGATGCCAGCAAAGGTCATGTGCGAGTAAAGGCAGGTGTCCCAATACTTTTGGCAATATAGTGTGTGTATATATATATATATATATATATATATATATGTATATATTTTTTTATTATTATATTATTATATGCACACACACTCCCTGGCCACTTTATTAGATACACCTTTATTGGTAACACAAATTGCTAATCAGCCAATCACATTGCAGCAGCTCAATGCATTTAGGCATCTAGACATGGTGATGACGACTTGCTGAAGTTCAAACCGAGCATCAGAATGGGGAAGAAAGGGGATTTAAGTGACTTTGAATGTGGCATGGTTGTTGGTGCCAGATGGTCTGGTCTAAGTATTTAAAAAAACTGCTGATCTACTGGAATTTTCACGCACACCCATCTCTAGAGTTTACAGAGAATGGTCCGAAAAAGTGAAAATATCAAGTGAGCGGCAGTTGTTTGAACGAAAATGCTTTGTTGATGTCAGAGGAGAATGGGCAGACTGGTTCAAGATGACAAAAGGCAACAGTAACTCAAATAAGCACTCATTACAACCAAGGTATGCAGAATACCATCTCTGAACACACAACACGTCCAACCTTGAAGCAGATGGGCTACAGCAGCAGAAGACCACACTGGCTGCAGCTCCTGTTAGCTAAGAAAAGGAAATAGAGGATACGATTCACACAGGCTCACCAGAATTGGACAATAGAAGATTGGAAAAACATTGCCTGGTCTAATGAGTCTCAAAATTCCCTAGAAGCGGTTGTGTGTGAAAATCCCAGTAGACCAGCAGTTTTAAAAACACTCAGACCAGCCCGTCTGGCACCAACAACCATGCCATGTTCAAAGTCACTGAAATCCCCTTTCCTACCCATCTGATGCTCGATTTGAACTTCAGCACGTCATCTTAACAACGTCTAGATGCCTAAATGCATTGAATTGCTGCCATATGATTGGCTGATTAGCAATTTGTGTTACCAAGCTATTGAACAGGTAAACCTAATAAAGTGGCTGGTGAGTGTATATATATTTAAAAATATAGATATAACTGCAGCCAGCAATACAAATATTTCAAATATACAAGGCATATAACATTTGTATGTATAATGTGCACACAGAATAAAAACAACATAATCACACACAATCATAAAATGCTACATTTGTAGGGGAAGTAGATTTAAAAATGAGAGCACACACATAGTTATTGGAAGTGTCAGATACTGGACCCGTTTGTCGCTCTACTATCGCAAGGAAAGATAGTCAAAGTGTTAATTAATGGCAGCACACTCTTATTTAAGATTGCTTTTAGTTAGAATTATTTATTCCTTTTTTATAGGATGGATGTCATTTTTATTCAGTCATTGGTATGGATGTCTGAGTTAACACTGGAACTTGCAGGGAGGGGCTTTCTCTGCCTGCTCACTATTAACACAATGTGGGTCACAAACAGAT